GATTAACACGTATCGCTAACATGAGTAACTCTCCATATTTCATATCTTTATGTAATTTCAATAATTTTTTTCTAGTGACACGTGTCGCTAAAGTGAGTAACTCTCCAAATTTCTTATCTTTATGTAATCTTAATAATTTTTCGGATAGGATTTCGAGTATCACATGTCGAAATGTAATTGGTTGTGCAAATTTTAGATAGAATTCTTATCTATGTGACACTTATTATCTTCAACTTTCAATGTTGTAGGAATGGTGTAGTTATTTATAGGAAAAAAATTAGAATTTTTTTTTTTAAATTCATCCAAAAAATAAAATTCAAATTCCAACAGTAACCTGACGGTAGCATGACGTTAGTTTGCCATTGCTAGCTGGTGTCATGCTAACGCCAGGTAGCCATTCGCATTCAAATGGGTTGAGCTAGAGAGCTGGCAAAATGTCAAGCTTGACATTCTGGCGCTAGAGGGCTAGCTCGCTAGTTAGAAATGGCCAGCCTGTTGGCTTGATTTGAGGGTTTGGGCCCGATGGGGCCCACAAGTCTTTTGGCCTAGACCTTGGTTGGAGACAGTTTTTGTGTCATTCCGAGCTATTTTTAGCTCTATAACCCTTTGACCGGATCGGTTGAAGATGGCCTCATTATCCAATACAGCTTGGCACCTTGATGTTTACCATACCTTGTTCATTTGCAGAGGCGTTTCGTACTTAATACTTGTTTGTACTGTATCATTAAAATTAAAAGTCTCAAAGTACAAGGAAGTCGCCTTTACTACCTACTGTTATGGCTTTCTTGCTACGCGATCTAGCCATGCCATTTCACTCTAAATTTCTCCTGCACTGTGATAAAGCGAGCACTACACACTCGGCGGCCAATCTTGGCTTCCATGCCGCTCTAAGCATATAGAAGTTGACTACCACTTCATTCGCTTTTCCCTATCTCACTGAGCCGCCTAACCCTAGTAGCTGTCAGTTATTGTATTCTATCATTCCATGCATGGAATGTTCCTTCGCTCCTAGGTACGGTTGTCAAAGAAATTGGAAAGTAGAAACAACCACGTCGTCTTCTTCCTCAATGGAAGAGAAAACTAGAAAAGCAGTCTTCATTCAATAACCAAATACTTCTTCAGTAATTAGATCTATACTATATGATCATTCTTCTGTATACAAATTAATTTCCTTCACCATTCCCTAATTCCTAATTTTCCTGTTCTTCTCTTCTGTCGAGTAACCATCTCTTTGCTGGCATTGTTGCGATGGATGTCTTTATGCAATCCACAATACCTTCACAATCTGTTTGAGGAACAACGCAGGCAGATTCATCTTCTAAGGAGTCTTCTGTGCGTGTGTGAGGAGACAAGAGGTTCCCATGAGTCTGGCAGGCCTTCATCGACTTACAGTGTTCAGCTTCATCGTCTCTTATGTTCAGAAATGTGTCGTACAAATTCTATGAAAAAAGAAACATTATTAAAAGCGCAGTGCAAACTAGGTCATACTATGCGCACAATCATTATGAACTTATTCCCGCTTATGTTAACAGTTATTGTACAAAGCTGAGCGAGACTATTTTAGGACAGGAAACTAACAAGAAGTATAAAAAATGATCAAACTCCTAGCATGTCAATCTATGAGCTGCCATCAAAAAATCAGATCTGAAGACTTACCTATTTTTGGCCTCGGAGAATTGGGAGGTCTTGAAGTTTGAAATTCATATGCATAAAAATCGGGGGGATTGTTAATTCTTCGATTATTACCCTTCAGGACACAAACAAAGACTGAAAAATAGACAAAGCTTACCAAATAAGTACATGTCACCACTAGTGTAGTATTTCACAGCAACCTCAGGAGCAGGCATCTTTTTCAAATCCTCTACAACAGAAGAAAATACCATGTCAAGATAAGTGAATTTGTATTTGAGGTAAGTGTAAGACGGTGCATTGTACAACTGATCAATTAAGATCATCACTTGGATGTTGAATGCTTAGAATATTCGATGTGATCCAACAAACACCTTTTTGTAATTCTTGGTTTTAAGGCATCAAGTCCTGAAAAACTCTAAATCATACCTCCTCGGGCCTTGATAAACTAGTCATAGGTTGAATATGCATGGCTCTCTACACGTTCAGAGAAGTGATCTGCACTAGCATTGAACAAAATAAATAAACACACATTTAAGGATGCAGGATAGTTCTCCGATCACTTATTTCTATAGTGTCATTTGAAGATGAACTTACAAACTTAAACAGAAGACCTCTTAATGCAACTGTTGTTAAATTTAGGAAGGGATTTTAAGAAAACGAAATTCTGACCAAATGTGTCTACTCCTAAAAATGGCTTGATATTGATTTCAATGGACGATTTTCTTCTAAGTTAGTAACCATTAAGGATAATGCAGCAAACACGACACTGGGAGGCAAGAGAGACGATAAAGCAGAGGAATTAGAGTACATTAAAAATTAGAAACTCATACTTACAAGCCATCCTTGGGCTTATATCATAAAATAATAGAAGACTGCAATGTGCTGAGCAAGAAAGCGGTCAAACCACCAAGCATTTCCCCCCAATTCCTGCATTAGATCCATATTCTATTGTTAAATCAAGCAAACCATGTAGATGATATTACAGATAGAAGATCCTTACTTCCATGATAAGCAGATGGTGCATCCCATTCCAGCTCTCAGCAAAATGCACCTTCAGATAATCTGCCCTTCTCCACCAACCAAAACTTTCATACATGTGCAGAACAGACATAAAAGCTGCCACAGATATACCACAAGGACACGACTTATAACTTGCAACTGGGAATCGCAGTTGACAATTAATTGGGAAAAGAAGCACACAAGAACATGTTCCTAAACAGGTTATACGCACAATTTGAGAGAAAAATAAAAGGAACATATAGGCACATCCTTCCATGAAATCATCACTATCATCTTGACCTCCAAAACATGATAATGCAAAGACAGCTCTGTATGTCATATGAATCATAATTCTAACAGAAAATAGGGCCAATTTATGTTGTATGTCAGGACATGCATGATTGGATGTACATTTCTTGACATACAATGCCACCAAATGAATTGATAACTTGTCCTCGCTCATTTCAAGATTTCCTCTTGCTTGAAAAGGAAGTTCTCTGCATCTCATTACACATACTATTTTAGAGAACTGCAGAAAATTCAAAATTATTAATAAACAAAGTTTAGCACTCACCGAAGTAAGGAAACCTTGCAATAGTTTCCAGTACAAAGAACCTTGCACAATCTCGGTCGCAGTACACAGTATCAAGTACCTTTATGACTGTATCCTAGAATGATAGTAGAACGGAATTAAAATCTAAACATCAATAACAACTGCCAGAAACAAAAGCTCATAAGCATAACCCCCAAACAATCAACAAAAATGATTAACATTTCTTTGACAACGACATTGGCAAGCAAAGCAAAACGATTAATTTGACAATGAGTAAAGATTTACCGTAAGGAAGATGTTGAAGGATTGTTCACACTTGAAGACGAACTCTCAGAGAGATTCCCGCTGCTAGCTTTCAATTCATCAAAGGTAGAAGCCTTGAACTCAAGGGACTCCTCCACTACCACCTTCTCTTCATCTTCTTGCAGCATAGTTGCTCGAACTCTACACAATTTTTGTTATCGAGTGAATAAAAAGCCCACAAATTTGAATTTAGAATCCAGTTCACAGATCCCATGAAGCACAGACAACAAAACTTCAGAAATTCATAATATAAAATACCAAAATTAAAGATCCCATTTTTCGACGTTTGAAGTGGTGGTAACATACCTGGAAATGGACGGACGAGCGGAAATGGGATTGTATGGAAAACGATTCCGGGATGAAAAAGCTGAAGTCTTGAAGCTCCTCCTTGCTCTGAGAGACGAAGAAGAAGAAGAAGAGGAGGAGGCGGAGATTGCAAACACCGGCGAAGACAGAGTCGCCGCTGCCATTCTGCGCGGTTGTTGCAGAGAATTCAAACCCAAAAAAAAAAAAAAAAAAATAGAAATCAAAACTGGAATTTGGTATTTCGATTAGTCAGTTGGCGTGAAGAGAAATTGTCAACCGCGGGAGGGAGGGAGTGGAGAAAAATGGCATTTTATTTCATGTTTTGTTGGGGAGTAATTTGTGTCGTCTTGCAAAGTTGTAAATTCGTAAATCCGTAAATTGTACCGGTTTATCATAAATTGGGTAATAAAAAATAATTTTTTTTATTCTAAATTTAAATACAAACAGTATATGATGAAAACTATGTAAGATAACAGTTTGGGTTTTTGCTCGATGCCCTTTAGATGCACGACACGAATTGAGAGGTTATTGTTTTGGTTTTTGGTGTTTTAAGTATCGTGGCTATTTTGATCATCAGGTTCTACTGGACTCTGAGCTTTCGGTCTTTCTTGGTGAGCTTCACAAGCTTAATTTAGTCCCTGGGGCTTGAATTGGACATTTTCACTCTGTGAACAGTAATATTTAGAAAGCTCAAGGAAATACTTACTTAGAAATCACTTTTGCTATTAAGTGTATCGCTATAATCACTTTTATTATAAGCACATCGAAATTTTTATTAAAAGTTAATTTGTTTTCTGAACAAGAATATAAGAATGTTTTTGCAATGTTGTTACTTGTTATCAACATTAATTGCTGGCATCTTTTTTTTGCAGTGGCGTATTAGGAGAACAATATCGCAAGGATGTCAGTTTTTAGGTTCATAGGGGATTGAATGTGGCTTCACTCCATTTTTGCAATCCAAATGACCCTTCTGCTATGGCTGCTAAACAAGACGATATTGAGATTTTGATTCGAGGTCGTCATATATTTTCGAAATTAGGATTCAGTCAATCAGCAGTTATGTTGTTTGCTAGCTTAATAAGCCTAAACACATCACTTCACCTTGTGTTGCTGGTGGAGATGAGCCAAATGTTATAGCCGTAAAGATTAATTGTTAATTAGTGTTAATTGGAGAGTTTAAAGAAAATGAAGAAATACGAAAAGGAAATTCGGAGAAAGGAAGCATTCTATTTGCATAATTGCTTTTTAATACATATTTTGGATGCACTAAAGGTAATCAAACAGTGTTTAATTATTTGATCATCACAGAACATCTGTGTTTTTAGCTGATCCTTCCCCGTCTTATTTATATCATGCAATGCACGCACACCCTTTAGACACGAGGAATTCTGCACATCACAATAGTAATTAAAAACACATTAGCCCATATCAATTTATGAACAACAATCTAGAAAATTGTTATCAACTAGCACTCAAAAACAGTCACCATGCACTTTATTTCTTCTGCTAGGGACGAATGCAAGATGACTTTTTTTAAGTGTCAATAGCAACTCAAATAAATAAAAAATTGAGAGAGAGCTTACGATTCGCAATCAATTTTGGGGTCGAGAGGAACGGGAAGGGACACATGGCAGAAATCAGGAAGCTGCTTGAGTCTGTCAGGGTTGATCAGCATGCCAGCAGCTGCTTTCTTGAAGAATTCACAGAGGTTCCTCCAACACTCTCTGGTGGTAGCCGCAGCATAAACGGTTTGCACACCACTGCAACATGTAATCGGAGGAGTCCCAGGGCCAGACCCGGTCAAGGTTTCCTTACATGGCATCAAATCCATCAAGGCCTGTTGGCATGTGATGTCGCCATGGGCAGGACTTGCATAGTTCAGAACCATAACCATCATCGGCCCGAAAAGGATCACCAATTTCATCTCCATTTTCTTTTGGGACACAAAAACAAGGCAAATATTTGATTATAAATACTATTTAGCTTGGATATGCAGAAGACTTGAAGATTTGAGTGTGACTTGGAGCATGAACTGCATCCTCTTTTTATAGGGAGTCGCAGGCTGCTTTTTAGTGGCTCATTTTACGTGTATAGGTGCAGTCAAGATTTTTTTTCTCCTCCTTAAGAGTTTTTTTTCTTAAACAGCTAGTTTTTACTTAAAAGTGAAAACTATGTCAGACCAAAAGAAAAACAGGTTCAAAACTATGTAAAAACCACAGGCGCCAACTAATGGAGGACATTGCAAATACCATTAATAACCTGTGTTTCTTTTAGGGTTTTGGTTTTTCATAATATCGTGCTTCTTATTTACCGCATTTCTAACAATTCGAAAATGCATGGGAGCTCTTAGCTAGCTCTGTTGAGCATTCATTTTTGGATATGAAGTCTCAAACCCTTGTTCAAGAACAATTCAGAAATGAATAAAAATAACAAAAATTGAAATTCTAAATTTTTATTACCGAAAAATACTTGCAATACAAAACAAAATAACAGAAATAAATACAGGAATTAAAATGGTACTAACTTGATTTACACAGATAGAGGCTAGCGCAAAAGCTATGTCCTTCGAACAGTATTTCCGTCCCACTCTTGTGCTCGTGGTTCTATGACGTCTGCTCGACCAGGATACAACTATCTAATTCTAGAACCCTGGATTATAGAATTATGGCGAATTGTTTTGTGTGTTTACTCTCTGTAAGGTTTTGTAAGGGAGAGATAGAAAGAAAAAAGATGATATGATGAAACTAAGAGTCTTCAGTTATATAAACTATTTCTTAGCTTTTCAAATAGCTTTGGAATGTATCTGAAACCACACAACTGTCAACTCTCTCTGATTAATTTTAACTTCTTAGGAGGCCAAGGCCATTGTCTTGATTAACTAATATCATAATATTGATATTATATTAATACTATGGTATAATTTTTACAAGTCGAATTCCACACAATTAGTGGGACAAACCTCAATTCTCATTTCAAATGGTCCAATACCTAATCACTAGTAAAGGTGGCTAACCTAATATAAAGACCTCTAGGGAACTTGAGTTCCCCGATGTGGGACTAAAGGAGCTCAAAACTCCAACAACCCTAGATATCACTTGTGTAAAACAATTCGAAAAAGGCAAAACTAAAGCAAATAAAAGTTGCACAAACAACTAATAAAAATCTCCACAATGAACGAAATCTAGCAAAATCCGTATGTAGATGGATAGTGTAATTATAATTTAATTCTTTATTTTTTAAGTTTAATTTTGGGGTTCAAAAGATTTTTCATGTGGATTGTGGAGTTTGAATTGGGGGTCATTTTCGAAAAAATTATATAAACAAAACAACAACTAGTTTTCCAGTTGAGAGAGCGTTATATGATCTGTGGCAGCTGGTTTTTAATTTTATGGAGAAGAATCGTTTTATTTGCTGGTAAAACGCTTTATAGGCCAGAAATATAAAAGAAAACTGATCAAGTGAAAGCATGCTTGTATTTCAGTAAAATCCAAAGCTAATTAAGCCGTTCAGGATTAAAACGCAGATCTAATCTTCTACTGCTCAATGGAACTCGTGAGTTCCTTGTGTTTGTTTGCATAACCACGTGTTTGAACCAGTGCATGCATTGTATATTCAATCAGTACTCCAAAACAAAAACTGCACCCGAATGCATGCCTGATGTACTATTTGAATCCAATTCTCAGGATGTAATTAGTCGGCAAAGAATTGTTGAAAATTTGATTTTTTGCTAACAAAGAAGAAAAACCAACTCGAACAATCCCGGGTTCGTTTGTCTTCCTCCTTAAAAACCCTAGCTAGCTAACACCTAACTCAGAGTCCGTACTACATATGTAGGTCAAGTTTATGAATTATGAGTTATGACGGAGACTATATCATTATACATAAGATTACACTAACATTGTATATTATTATTAAGAGTGTCTCCCTATGGGGAGGGGTCGGTGACCTAACTCTTTATAAGCCCTGTAAAATTTTATAACTTAGTTTACAATGTGAGACAACACTTTACATTGTTAAACGCCTTGTTACGTGTACATATGATGACACTCATGTCAAATAAGTGAACAACATTTATTGGGCAATGACATAGAGCATATGTTGTTGTTGGGCTTCAAAAAATGACCAACGTGCTATGATATATACTATGGAGAAAGTTAATATTCTATATATATAGCCAGAAAAAATTAGAGCAATGGTCCTTAAATTTTGGTACAGTTGAAGCTTTGGTCGTAAAATTAATAATTTGTGGGTATTGATTAATCTTTGAAATTATTATAATGTGGAGCAATTAATTAAAGGTTGGGTGGTCAAGGTCGGAATTAATATTTAAAGGCTTGGTGGGTAATGTTGATTATGATGGCTGATTTTCAGGAAATGCAAAAACTTAAGACTTGAGTATGGCTTGGACCATGAATTGCATGCTGTTATAGGAAAGTTGCAAGCATTTTTTTGGTAGCTCATTTAATTTGGAGTTTTTTATTTTTTATTTTTTAAGAGAAGTACGATATTCATTGCAGTGAAATCAGAACACATACAAACTGAGGATAGTGTGCATAATGGACCTCGATAAATTTTGCCGGAGCTTTCAACCCGATCGAAGGAAAAAGAGTGTCCTGCATGATATAAATGATCTATCCTCAAATGACTATACATAAACAAATTACGAACTATCTTCAAACAAAATATTCCTAAGCAAATTTGTTTTTACTTAAATTAAAAACTATATGACCAAAAATGTGTAAAACAATAGGCGCCAACTAAGAGAGGTGCTAAAAAAATTTGAGGTTCCATCATAAAATTAATTGATAATATGAGGAGTAGTCCAATTACTTATAAGTACATGCAAGGTGCAATGTCTATAATTTCTCCGATATTGGCGAGCCCTATGGCCCTCATTTGGTTGGAGATGGCCTATTGAAGGATCCAGAAGGCCAGAGGGCCGAAAAACGCTCGAAAACCGTCTCCAACCGAGGGTTAGGCCAGAAGACTCGTGGGCCCACAGAATCTGAAAAGGTCAAAGGGCTAACTGGCTGGCCACTTTCAACCAGGGCGCTGGCTAGCCCAATTTCATTTTTTTTTTTTTTTTTTTTTTTTTTTTATGGTCCCAACCCACCTTTTGTTTTTATGCCCAGCAGCCTTTTTTTTTTTGGACTTTTTTTTTATGTCTAATTTTTTCCTACACATTTCTCACATATTTTTCACTATTCCATACTATCTTACCTCATTTTATTTCAATTCTTCACATTCCATACTATAGCCCTTTGGCCCTTTGTTGAAGACGGTTTTTTTGTGACAAGGCTAAAACAAGTCATGTGACCCTTTGGCCCTCGGTTGGAGATGGTAAGGAATATGGCATTGCACTGTTCATTAAAATATTAATATCTTGGAGGGCTAGAGGGCTAAAACAAGCCCTCTGGCCAGCCCTCGGTTAGAGATGGCCTTATAAGCACACACAAAGTCCCTTTTTTCCATGACGTGGGATTAATACTCTCACAGGTGTAAATATTTTTAATAGGGTAATGCCATGAAGAACAACTTTTTAACTCAAATTTTACAAACCATATGACATGATTGTTAATAATTTGATTATTACTTAACTGTTAATTAACGTGCTTATTTCATAATGCTAGATAGACTAACTTTTTAGACCACATTTGCAAACCATATGATATGTCACAAAGGGAAAATAAGCAAGTTTTTTCTTTTTTTTCTTTTTTTTTTCTTTTCAATTCCGGTTTTTGGGTATATAATTTTTCTTATTTTGTTATTCTTTACAATATAATATTCATGTTCATAATGTACTCTATTTGTTTCATTTCCCCATGAAAAAATATCATTACACAAATATATATTAATGAAATGAAAAAACATCTATGGAATGATGGTTAGTGTCATTCACACTCATTTTTACTTCTGATACATTCTTGTTAATTTTTTGTCTTTGATATTCTTCAATTCGTTCGATCTAACCACTGAAAATTAATAGGGGTATATGAGAAGTAAAAATAGTTGTGTGGATAACACTTTCCAAGATGATAATGTTTAACTTGTGTGAAAATTCCAACATTGAAGAGAAGATGCGCACGAGGACGCGCAAAACCTTCACTTTCATCGGAACCATGGCATATGCTTGTTCTCTTGTTCTCTTGTTCTTGTTTGTTTTGTTTTTTCAAATTTTCACCAATAGGAGGTTTTTTTAAGAAAAACTTGAACTTATAGTAAGCTAGCAAACAAATTAATACACTCTTGGTCAAGCGTTTGAAATGGTTTAGACGCTTAGAAAGCCTTGTAGCCATCGGATGGACAATTTCCTAAGGCACGTCCATGTCCCCAACCTTTCTTGGTGCTCGAATCCCATACGGAATATTTTTTTTTTCTGAAAACAAGGAATCGGATATCAATCGGCCTCCTTCTTTAAGTTTCGTCATCCCCTTCACTTGTTCTCGTTCGTCTTTAAGGACTTATTTCTGCAATACTTTATCCACCCAATATTATGGCCGTAAGTCATTTTCTGTTTTTAGTATTGAAGTTCTTAGTGTATGTTATGCTTTTTTCAGTATTAGAATTTGACTTATAGCCACTAACTGTGTTTTTTCATTTTTTGAAGAAACTGATTATGATTTATTTCACACACACACACACACACACATACATATATTATGATTTTAGGGCATATATACTCTCTGGGTTTGTGATGATTGGTAAATTATTTCATTTTCTTAAGGCATATCAATGTTTTATTTGATTAATTCATACCGTAATGACGGATTTGAAGCGATAAATGTAGATGTTTGTCTTCGTTGATTGGAGTTCTGCTCTCCTAAGGTTCTCATTTTGAAGATCTGACGTGACATCGTCTTTGTCGTCAGTCTTTAATCATTATGTCGTTGATATTAATCGATATGTCTTTGATATTAAGTTTTAGTTAGCTCATCAATTAAGTTTTTTTTTTTTTTTAATTTTTTTATTATCATTTTAGTCAAGTTCCTTTTCTTTGC